GGTGTAAGCTTTATACTCACGTATTTATTTCTGGAAGAAAAAAGAAACACCCTAGGGTTATCACTTTGAAGATAAAGTGGGGTCATTGAACCTTTAAGATCTGATTTTCATGTGTTCGCAAGTTCTTTCCGAGAATTATTTCTTGATTGCCAGTAGACTATTTATTCCGAATTGCCACTGGTTTAAACATAATATTATTAATGTTTTATTTACACAATTGATGACAACGTTTTTTGTTGTGATTCCTACAATAGACAATGAGCAGAAAGTTTTTAGTTGGTTAGACAAACGTTGAGCTTGTCGTTATAGTCTGCTAGACGCTTTTCCAGGACCGACACGACGTGCCTTATTGACTGGGGTTGTATGTGTTTTCCCCTCACACGTTGTCCTGTTTGGAGTTGACTAAGTGCCTGACATATCATCGGACTAACACGGGATATAATATTGTTGACGTTCGCGGATCTGTTGTACTGGAAAGGTCCCGGAGGTTTTTAAAGACGTGTGCCTTATTTTGTCTACGCTTGTTGTCGTCTTCCAACGGGTTGTTTTACGGGCCTTGGATCGTAGCATTTTTTAGAAAAAGAATATTAACTAGTTACTGTGGAGCCGACCTGACGTTGCTGCTTTTCAGAGCTGGACTCAGTACGTGTTTTATTTGTCTGCCTTGGTGGAGTTGATGCAAAGTAGATCGTATTATTCGTAGTAGTGTGTAGTTCTAACTGTAAAAAAAAACAACCCCAAAACAACCCAAACCAAACCAAAACAAAAAAAAACGACCCCAAAAAACCCACCTCAAAACAAACAAAAACATTTCAAAAACGTATTTCGGAATATTGCACTGTGGTTGCTCAATCGTTCAAACAGACAATCAGAACAAGCTAACAAAGACAACCCAACAGAACGAACCAAGAAAAAAAAACCCCCAAACAAACGAAAACCAACACCCCCCATAAAGTGTACGAGAATGTCTGAGCACGCCGGCAGCCCCCCGCCCCGCGGCACAGCGCCGCCTCTGCCCGACAAGCCCCCCTCCGTGGCCGAGCGCACGCGCCTGCTCCGCTCCAGTTTCCGCAAGGAGGACGTCGACAAGCCCAAGGTCCCCGAGAAACCGGACAATAGGACCATCCTTGCCAGCCTGGCGGGTCAGAGGTCAGGGGGCGGCGGCTCCCCCTCCCCAGCGACCTTGACCTCCTCCGTGGAAGGGTCATCTCACTCTCAGCTCCATCAACAACAGTCGGGTGGTGGTGGAGCAGTGACGACATCCACTACACCACCGTCGCACGGCCTGGCGAACGGGCAGTCGGGTTCAAACCCTTCCTTGTCGGCGCCGACGCCATCGTCTGGCGGGGGTGGTCATGTGATCAGCCAGAAGCCACCCGTGCCGGAGAAGAACGCGTCCGTCGCTCTGTCTGCCGGGGGAACAGCGGCTCACGGGGACAGCAACAGGGACTCGGAGAGCCGACTGGCCGGGAACCTCCCTGTAGGTACTTTGTGTTGTTCTTGTTTTTAAAATTTTTAGTCGTTTAAAAAAACAAACTGTTTATTCTTTAACATTGGCGGAAAGCTCATGGGTACTGCAATTGCTCCTTCTTTCCTATCAAACATCTATCGTCTTTATCTCTCCTCCTACTATTTTGTGTTTGTTACTCTCTTGTAACGCCTCTAATCTTCGGCACTTATATGACCTTATGTGTTGCAAGTGCCGTAAAACTCTAACTAAAACAAAAATTTGTTGTTTTTTTTTCTTTTTAAACCGTTTATTCTTTAACATTTTACATTGACGGAAAGCTCATAGGGACAACAACTGGAACCCTTTATGTTTCATGTATTTTTATTTCCAGCAGTTGATTTGATCATATTGGCGTAGGTGGTTGGCTTGTGCTTTAATGGGGTTTGTTCCTTCTTTCCTATCAAACATCTATCGTCCTTTTCTCCTCCTTCAGTGTTTATTACTTTCTTATATATA